TATGGTTTAGTGATGATGCTCCTTGTTTGTTGTGTGGGTGTCTATTTTTGTCAGTTAGGTTGACGGTTGTACTAGATGATCTTTAAGGTCCCTTCCAACCTAGAAGATTCTGTGATTAATTTACCGGGTAAGCAGCGTATCCTTGACTAAAGGTGAGAAATCTAAGGCTGACGTTAACCTGGGCTGAGAAAGACAAGCTCTACTACGTTCAGGAAAGCACCACGGCGTTCATGGGTATCTGAGCAGCTATTCAGAGCGCTGCCGTATCAAAGATGTTCACCTCATAACCATTTCCACCGTCGTTAAAAGATGGCACTACTGAACACAGAGCAAGAGAGAGAAGTTGTGATTTGTTCTGTGGCCGGTTTAAGTGATAAGAAGTTACAGATTACAAGTTACAGATTGCAAGACTTCTATTCTGAATTTTTCTCTTTATTTCGATGAGTAACTTCAACAAATTCACTATTTGGCTCAGAATAATCCCACACATAAATAACACAAAATAAAAGCAGTCTGTTTGGTCTGGCTGTTTCTAATTAACTTCAACAAAAATTCTGGCCCTCCTGATCTTAACGGCTGTTCTCACGTCACCGCGTGGGGATTCAACTTAAGGAACACACAGTGTCCTTCAAATGAAAAAAAGAATACATTACTGTAGGTTTGGCTAACATTTAGCTTATAAGCATTTCACAAAAAGAAGAAACATACCAATTTATAGGCCTCTAAATACAGGGTTTATGTTGGGACAATGGGCACCATAAAATCTATGCAAGCCTACAGCTAAATTATGGATAATTTAGGGAAAACCAGCTTTCACTAAGTGACTATTTCACTCATATTGTTTAACTATTTTTGAAGGAAAAGAATGGCATAATACGCTCTGAAATGTATCTGCAATACAGAAAAATAAGTTTACTTAGACCCTTAAGTAACAAGGCAAATAATATAAAAAATAAAGGATCCAGCTATTTTTTACTCTAACCCATGCTTTTTACTTTAGTGATGCTGGCAAATAATGCGTTTTCCAAGACCTGCTTAGAATCTCTTTTCTTTCTACCATAGTCTCATTGTAAGTTCTGCCTTTTTAGCAGTTTTTACCACACTCCTCAAAATCATCCCCGAATTTTGAAGCAGAGTCTTCCCTTTGTGCTTCCTCAACATCATCCCTGAATTTTGATCTGGTCTACTTTTGCTGCCAGCAATGACACACATTATTCTTTACTTTTTAATTCTTTACTTTGACATTACTTAACATTATTCTTTCCACCCCAACTACCTGGACTATTTTGAAGACTATAATCAGAAGATGGAGGGCCTGCCAGTTCAGAGACAGGTCCTAAATTATTGTGATACTCTGTTAGTTTCTATCTTTTTCTTTTGAGATAAGCCCTGGATGATCATTTCGCTATCTGCTCTTGATAAGAGATCACGGGTAGCTGTGTTGCTGTCGAAGATTTGGTTGGAAATTTCACATTTCACTTATGCCAGTAGCATGTTGTTTAGCCTTTTTGTGGTGAGGACACAGCAACACACGCAGCCTCCATGGAGTCAGGCCTTGGGTGCTAGGTCTCTTTGGCAGGAGACCAAGGGAGAGCCTTCCTCTTCCCTTCCTGCACGACAAGAGCCGGGCTGCAATCCCTCTCCTACTGCTGGGATCTGGGATACGTTTCCTTACGAATGGTAAAACCTTGGTTAGAGTAAGTGAAGAGCAAAGCTCGCACTAAGTTTCTTGTGCCTCCGCACAAAGAAAGCCCTTGATGCCAAGCAAAGCAACACTGTCCTTTTTATTTTTTTTCTTCCTGGCAACAGCATTATTCACATGAAAGGACACATCTGAGACGACCAAAGATTCAAGTCCAGAGTGTGAGGATTGTTGGGAAATGTTTTACTGATGTACCTCAACACTTCATGCTTCCTGGACAGAAGTTCCCTCAAACTTTTGTTTTCTGGGTCACACCTCTATCCAGGTGAAATATAATCTGGAGGCTCTCGGGATATATTTGTTCCCCAAGGATTGTTTTCACCACTTGCTTTACACCTGTAAATTACCAACCAGCCACTGCAGAATCACAGAATAGTTAAGTACGGAAGGGACCTCGGGAGTTCATCTGGTCCAAAGCCCCTGTTCAAGCAGAGCCACACAGAACTGGTTGCTCAGGACCATGTCCAGGTGGTTTTTGAATATCTCCAAGGATGGAGACTCCCCAGCCTCTCTGGGCAATCTGTGCCAGCGCTCAGTCACCCTCACAGTGAGAAGGTGTCTCCTGATGTTCAGAGGGAACCTCTGGTGTTTCTGCTGCTGACCACTGTCTGTGGTTCTGCCACTGGGCACCACTGGAAAGAGCCTGGCTCTGTCTTCTTTGCACCCTCCCTTCAGTCATTTATATAGACATTGATGAGGTCCCTCTGAGCCTTCTCTTCTCCTGGCTGAACAGCCCCAGCTCTCTCACCCTTTCCTCACAGGAGAGGTGTTCCAGTCCCTTCATCATCTTCGTGGCCCTTCACTGGACTCTCTCCGTTAGCTCCACATCTCTTTCATACTGGGTGTCTCTCCTGTACCAGGGAGCCAAAAAAACGGACACAGTAGTCATCAGGTAGGAACAAGATGTGATCCTACTCTCCTGGACCACATATAGACTTTATCACTTCCAATGCATTTCTCCCCTGATGGAAATGATGCTTATACTTAGCATTTGAGTAGCTTTCTACCAGCATTTGAGGCAGGAAGACGAGAACAGCAATGTACATTTTTGATAATAATTTGTCTATATAGGGTATTTACAGTAAGTTATAATCGCACAGTGACTTTACATCTAGCAGACCTTTTCTGACAATGGCCTCAGCACATTTTAGACACTGTAGGTACCCAAGGCAGCCAGGACTAGTGGACGTATGTCCTGGTTTCAGCTGGGATGGAGTTAATTTTCTTTCTAGTGGCTGCTGTGTTTGGGGTTTGGCATGAGAATAATGTTGATAACCCATGTTGTTTTGGTTGTTGCCAAGGGATGTTTACATTAGTCAAGGTCTTCCTGTAGAAGCTGAGAGGGAGCACAGACAGGACAAGCTGGCTGAAGGAATATTCCATACCATAGATGTCATGCTCAGTATAGAAACAGGGGTTGGCAAAGGGGCAGGAATCCACGATCTATGCTTGGGACATACTGATCACTGGGAGGCAAGAGTGACTTTTGGTTTATTACTTTATTTTGTATTTTCTTTTACCATGATGATGATGATTATCATCATCATTATCATGATCATGATCATTATCATCATCATCACCATCATCATCCTTTTTTCCTTTATTAAACTGTTCTATTAAACTGTCTTTCCCTCAACCCTCAAGGGTTTTTTTCCCTTTTTTTTTTTTCCTGGTCTGGGAACCACAAGCATCCTTGAATCGTGCAGCCAGGGACCTAGACACGGGAGATATCCCAAGGTGCCACCAATAAGCCCAAAACCAAGGGACTGTAATGGCAACTAGTCATCTGAGAAGGTGGAAAACAGCACAGAAAAATAAAATTGCTCTGAAAGAACAGAAAACAGAATCATCTATTGGCTGTTACAGGTGAAAACCAGAAATTAACAGCGTCTATTGGCTGCTCAAAGTAGGATGTTCTACACCCTCTTATGTCTCTCTGTTAAAAAAAGGTAAAAATGACTTATTTTTTATCCATAATGGAGTGTCTCTCTCTCTCTGAGAACTTCCCCATTGAATCCTGCATGAACTTTCCATGAGCTCCTGCGCTCTCACTGGGGACTCTGGCTGATTCTAGACTCAATGTTGGGCGCCTACCTCCAAGGGAGACTCTGCTTGGGTCTGTCGTCCCCCTTTTGGGGATGGTTGGCTGTCCCACCTCCAGGACTGGTTTGTTCCTCCTTTTTGGGATAATTTGGCTCCTTCTAAAACCAGTCTAATTCACTTCATATCCTAGATATATTAAATACATCTGCCGTTGTATTATTGTTGATAAGTTTGCTTCACTAATGATAAGTTGTAATAGTACAGACCTACCTGGTTGTTGCTGTCATTGGTTGTACCACCTTACTGCTTGCTGCTGTTATTGATTGACACTACTATTCACTGATACTGTATTACTTATTGCTGATAATAATTTGTAATAGCCCGTGGCAGGGGGGTAGGAACAAGATGATGTTTAAGGTCCCTTCCAACTTAAACCACTCTATGATTCTATGATATATATTAATTCATATTCCCTTTATTAGTCTTCATGTTAACTTTACTAACCACAGGCATATTTGCTAGTGGTGAATTTTGTGGTTGTAGACTTCCTAGTGGTGCTTTTAGTGGTATTTGTGGTAACCTGTAATTAAGCGGAGAAGTTTAGAGGATGAAGCCTCTGTGTCCTTGTGTATGATGGAATCTGAGGAGCCCATGGTCATGAGCTCTGTGCAGCCACAGACCAGGTGACCCTTCAGGTTGTGACATCTGCTGAGTGCCAAAGCACACTTTGAACCAAGCCCTAGGTGTCACAGCACAGGGAACACTTTGGGGCACCTCAAAAGCTCTCATCTGCGGTACAACTTAATTGTTCTTCAGAATAAGAATAAATCTTACGAGAGTGATTCAAGGAGCTGGGACTGTTTAGTTTGAGGAAGAGGAGGCTGAGGAGAGACCTCATCACTCTCTACAACTACTTGAAAGGACACTGTAGAGAGGTTGGGGCTGGTCTCTTCTCACAGGTCATTAGTGATACAATGAGAGGGAATGGATTCAAGCTGCAACAGGGTAGGTTTAGACTGGACGTTGGGAAAGAATTCTTCTCTCTTCAGAAAGAGTGGTCAGACTCTGAATAGGCTGCCCAGGGAGGTGGTTGAGTCCCCATCCCTGAATGTGTTTGAGAGTCGTTGAGATGTGGTGTTGGGGGATATGGTGTAGGGGAGAACTTTGTAGAGTAGGGCTGATGGTTGGACTCGATGATCCCAAGGGTCTTTTCCAACCTGAATGATTCTATGATTCTATGAATTCAGACTAATTATTTTTCCTTGAAATTTAGATGTTTTTATTTCCGATATTGTTGCTCATACAATCCAAATGAAAACACGTTCAATTGCTAATCAGGCATCCGATTGATCGTCATTCCTTGTTAGGCATTTCCATCACAACAAACGATTGCGACATTCATTGTCAAAAAAGCAAGTTGTTGTCCTTTGTACTAAAATGAAAGATATAGAAGTGGCTCCGGCGTCGCGCTGTGCAGCACGTTGTGGAGGTGGTTCCACAGCCCGGGGGTCACAAATATTCCTGTGGGCTGATATGAAAGCCGGGCTCAGCACGGGGCTCAGCAAACAAAGAGGATTTCAACCGCGACCAGGCGCTCGTCAGAAAGAGAGTCTCGCGCTTTCCAACCCATCCTACAGGAAGGATCATTTGTTGGCGCCGTGCGTCGACAGATTTATTTAAAGCACACAATGAACAACACCAACACGCTGTTACCCCTCTTAACCACAACTGCTGCACCACAGATTTCAATTTTTAAGTAGTCACATTCTCACATTACGCTTACAGATTTCTTTTTTCTGCTGAAATATGTTCCCTTGTGTTATCACAGTCCATCCTTAAAGTGTATAATTAGAAAACCTATTTGTATAAGCAATATGTCTAACGCTTATAAGCCAGAGAAATGCTTTACACAAATAAGTTATATTTGTAACTTTGCATGTTGACAAAAAAAAAACAAACTGCCAAGGCAGCAACTAGTGTAACATCCAGTGCATCCTAAATGTGTGTGTTCCCATTCTTACCAACAGAAACCAGCTAGGTATTCCTCATAAGCTTACTAATTGCCTATATTTTTATGGAAAATTTAATTTTCATTGAGATAACAATGAACTCATACAAGCCTTTTGCATGGCAAAGCTCGTCTGCTATTAACTGAATCACACAAGCTATATAGAATCGCCTATATTTTCCTTTACTCTTTAGGGAACTTCTGGGAACTGAGCTCTGAGCAGCACCACTCTTGCAAATGAGCAGCAATGACTCATTTTTCACCCTTTTTTTTTTTTCTTTTTCTTTTTCCCAACAGGCGTTGCAGAATGTGTCCTTTCCTTTATTGTGGCCACCAGTGATGAGATTATGAGTTTTTTTAAATTAGCTTCACAGATGAGCTTTTAGGTACGGTTTGCATCTGTGCATCTTCTTTGGTGCCCTGCAAGTCATTCAGTTATGGACAAGAAAAGAGAAAATAAAAGGGATATGAGATCTTCCTCTTGCATGGAGGAGTCAAAGCAGGAGTCTGTGCGTTGCAATGGTTTTTGATTACTTATACAAAGCAGGTCTTTAACAAAAGGGTTATAAGATTCAATGCAAAAAGATAAGGAGACTATAGTAGGACCATTGGCTTTCGACTGCCTTCTCCAAGCATGTAGATTTGGAAGCTGGAGAAGGTCTCCCAGCTTGGGTAAACTGCATTAAAAAAGACTGAATATTCAATTCAGCTGAGAATTCAAGTTACAGGCAATTGAAAACTGAGTCTTGCTTTTCATAAGAAAGGCTTGGGCCAACTCAGTTAGGTAACATCAAGAAAGACTGCTTATGGAAAGATGCATGTTGAAGTAGGTGCTTCTTTCCAGGACATAATTTTTAAACATCATTGAGAAATGGGAACAAAATCTTTAGTCTACTGACTGTGCTAAGTGCTAAGGGGCTCCATCTTCCTCTTTCCACTGTCTGGAGCCTCTTGCAACTTCCATCTTGTGTGCTGCACAAAAGAAAAACCAACAACCTTGGAGCATACGCAGGGTTTCATTCAGCAGCCTCCCCCAAGGAAATAATCCTTTCAGGGAAAACTAGTCTCTAAAAAATTTCATGTGCCTGCATGGTAAGTGGGTAGCTCAATGGTGGCACTGAAGAGCAGCCTAATATCTCTATGTTGGCTTTCACTGAACATTGATACTTGTCTACCCACGGATTTAACTCATATTTTAATTTTCCAAACATAAACACATGAGAATAACTGTATACAGAAGTCCCACTGAATTCAAGAAGGTACACACGCTCATACAGCTCTGCTTGACTGTTGGGTTTGCAACTAGAACTACTAAACCCAGCTGTTACCAGTGAAAAACTCCCCCTAAACCCAGTGTGGGTTTGGAAAGAGTTAAAACCGGAGGATCAACTAATCTAGGTTTCAGGGTATTATAAAGCATGGACTTATTCAGTCATTTCATTCATCGTGTACTTTTTTCTGCAAGAATTGTCATTTTAAAATCTCAACACCAAACGCTTTTCAGCATCTCACAGCTTAGGTTGACGCTAATTTTGCCGCCTTCCGTCTTTGACCAGCTACAAGTTGGCATTTAAGCTCAGTGGACTCTTGACCAATCCACAGATGACCTTGCAAGTTAACTTCAGGAAGAGATTAAATGATCATGATCTCATCTTGATTAACAACTAAGCACAGAATCTTCCTCTCAGCATAACTTTCTGACAGTAAGTTCCTCCCTCACAACCTTGTAACACCCTCTCCCATGCACCCACCCAAGCATGAATAAACAAGAAAACAAAACATTTTCAAACTGTTTCACGCACAGACTGAAGAAAGCTTATTTTCAGATTTGAATTCCTTGGAAGTACAGATGTTGTCAACTATAAAACGCATGGGCGTAAGGAATTTTGAAGATAACAGCATTTTTTTAAATTTTTTTTTCTTTTTTTGTAACTCTTAGTATAGCATTAAAGAAGATCCCTGTAGTGTTTTAACATTCTGCATCTCATACATCCGAAAACCCTCTGCTCTACTTAATATTACCCTATACAGTGCTTCCTAAACTGCATTTTAAAATTTCTTTTTGGGATATACAATATTTCAAGTTCAACTGAGATGTTGTTATTAAACACCCGGAGACTGAAAATACCGTACTGGACGATGAATAAAAACACCATCCCATAAAACACAACATACAAACCATTTTTTTCACAGTTCTAACAAGACGAGGTTGTACATAAAAATGTCACAAATAGCTCAGTACATTGGTATGATCAGAATAATATTAAGTCCAGCTGATATTGTCACATATTAAGGGCCAAATCCTGGCTCAATGCGCAGTTGAAGCCTAAACAGATGTTTAGAGAAAATAATATAAAGCTGCACTGACGTGCTGGAGTGATAACAATACCATCTGTTCATCTACCTAAGATTCTTGGCCTGAAATAGGTATCTAATTTGTGCTACGGAAGGACCACATGGTCCTTGGCTCCTGTCCTAGGACACATGTTTCTGGGTTTGTCGTGGCCCGGGGCAGAGGAGGCTGAGGAGCAGTGTTCCTTCTGGGCAGGACAGTTTTGGCAGGCATCTGTGTCTCCTGTGCTGCCAGAATTTGGCCAAGAGTTCAAAATCCTGTACATCTTATTCAGTAGTCCCTCTGAGGTCAAATGGAACTTTTTTTGTGAGTAAGATGAAAAGGATTTGGCCCCCAAAAGTTTTTAACCCTTTAAGTAGTAAGCGAGTAGTTTCATTGCACTTAGCCCATCATTCACAAAGAACTTTCTACTCCAAAAAAGAAGATGGTTGTTGACATTTGGGAAGTGTTGGCTCACGAAGTGGAAAGTGTGCAGCAACATCTGACTACTCATAGCATTTTGGAACTGAATTCCTAAAGGGAAAAGAGACACTTGCACATGACAATTTCATCCAATGTCTACCTGAGGCCAAAATGATTATTTCTTCAATTCCTAAATACCATCTAAATGGGCAACTTAGAAACACTAAGTAACTGGAGTCTGTGGATTGTTATAACTGGGTATGTATCTGTGTGTCTTCACTGGACTGGATGGATAAGCAACGTCATCTAATAATATTAAAATTTTACAAGAATGTATTGGAGCAGATGGATTTTTTTCAAAGAGCTTCCTAAACACTTCTATATGGAACACATGGTCACGACTTTGGGAAAGGAGAAATTGTGTTCTCATCCACAAAAAGCTTTTGGTGACTGGAATGGGCAAGAACAGCATTTTCGTCTTTAAAACAAATCAATTTTACTCTGTTACACAATTCCATGTTTTGTTCTGTGACTGTGGGCTTGAATTATCATTGATGAGATTAAATGGGATAAAGAATAACTAACTGTACGCAAATCAAATGAATTAAAACTATACAACAGTGCTACTCTGACCAAAAGCCACTGCAACACAGTATATTCTGATAACACACAGAATCTGGGGTTTGCAATTGTGCAGTGGGGATGCAGACGTGAACTCTGACGTTAGAACTGGAAAAGAGGAACCAAGGACCACAAGAGTTTAACCCCAAGGGATGGAGTGAGTGCCTTCATGGCTAACGCCGTGTCACGCTCGTGCTGACGCTCAACATGGAGCTGCAACAAAGCTGCAGAGATTATCTGCACTTAGAGACAATTTTATAGCGTTCCCCTTTTTGGAAATGGGGTAAAATCTGGCTGCCTTGTCACCATTGCTAAGAGCGTGCCTTCTCACCAGCACCAGGGCCTGGAGGTGTCAATGATTATCGGAGGAAACTGCACGTGAAGCCTCTATGAATTGGTTAAGGCGAGTGAACGTCTACCCTTTTGCTTATATTAAATAATTTAGTTCCTTGTATTGCTTCTTTCCTTCCCCAGCAGAAGGTTCTAGACGTTTTCTGCTGACAGCAGGCCTTTGGTATCAAATTCTCAGGGGGCATCACAGGCTGTGCATCCCTTTGGCTAAGGAAATAGGATCTGGTTTCATGCTTAATTCCCCCACTGCACGCTGAAAGCTGGACGAAAAGTTCTTGGGAGGTTGTCTGAGTTGAGGGAACACTTCACTCTATGCCCTGGGAAAACTTCACAGACTCCAAGAGGCCCAGCATTAGTCTACCCTTTGGAAAAAACATGAATAAAAGCTCCTCAAAAAATCAATAGGGCAGTTACAAAGTCTTCAAAAGGAGTCACATAGTGGTATGCCTGGGAAAAGGTTAGTTTGGGTGATGCTGTCCCTACACCTGGTAAGAAAGATATCTCTTTGTTACTATTAAGGAAAGTCTCTTTGATTTCATCCAGTTTTCCCATTATTCACCGTTTTCCACACATATACCCTACTCTTAAAGGCAGATCCTGCAGTCTTTGTTCCATCTTTGTTCCTCTCTCCACTGGGAATTTGTCAGAATACTACTGAGTAGGAGGGACGCTCTGTGTATCTTCTCTACTCTTAGGCACCCTTAGCCCTTGGTGTCTCCTGGCATGAACTCTTTCCAGGTTTTAGCCCTGCTGCGCCAACTTTTGGATCTTTGCATTGGTGAGGACCTCCTTGTGTGAGAAGATAACCTGGAGGTACGTTCCTACACAGATGGGAAGTGTAGGAAGAGGAGGAGACGCACTGACTGGCCTTGGTGCCTTCCACCTGGAGTGACAGAAGACTCTCCCTGCCATGAGGAGGAGGATGGGGCAGTGGTCTGCTCCTTGGGGTACGCATGAAGGTAGGAGAGCAATCTGGCACCTGAGGCAGCCCTTGGGGCTGGCCCACAATGCTTACAGGAGCTGAGATGCTTTGTGGGCTCAGGTCTTGGAAGCTACATCACAACATCAGATAGGAGATTAAAGGGTTTCATGGCAGAAGATGGGAGTCTCTTTCTAACTTCTGAAGTAGAAAATGTTTTGAGAAATCTTCTGCAAATATCACTGCCCCAAAAGGAAAGTATGCATGTGCTACATGCTCATTTTTGGGGTTTTTGGTTTTTTTTTTCTTCTGTTTGTCAAAATAGGAAAATCTTAGAGAAGGACAAAACTGAGCAACTTTATGATGACATGGCACATTTCTGGTGTATGCTGAGGTTTATTACTAGCAATATTTGACTTTCAATTGGGGTTCTGAAAGCATTTAAAACTCAGTATTAAAAAAGCCTCACAACAACCTTCTGAAGCAAGTTTATCTCTATTTTACAGGTAAGGAAACCAAGGCACAAAGAAATTAAATGATTTGCCACAGATAGTACAATAACTCAGTGGCAAAGTCAGGAAAAGAAAGAAATTCTGCAGTTATGGGTTGACTCTTTCTTCCTGCCAAGAAAATTAATCGTATCCCTAATATGCTGTTTCATGCCACCTGTATTAAAGATAATGAAAACTGTCCAATTTACACCGTTAAAATTGTTGCAAAGCCAATGAGTGGTTTTTTCCTTATTAGCACAAAAAATACTACTTAAAGGGTTAATTATACTGCTGTGCTGGTAAACATTTTTCCTTATTGCTGGTTAGACCCGTATTTAAATACTGACTGGGACAGAAGAGACTGAGCTGGCCCTGGACTCCCTCGTCTTGGTGTTGGGCATGGATATGGTGCAACAGGAGACGCCCACCGTGGCCTCGGGCAGCTCGTCTTCTTCTGTCCATTCGTTGAGATCGGGGTTATAGCACTGAATGCACTTCTTGTATTTTTTCTCTATTTCATTCCAGCCACCCACCAGGTATATCTTGCCGTTCAGGGTGGAGGCGCCAGCCGTGCTAACTCCGGTTTGAAGAGGCGCCGCGTAACTCCACTGCCCCGTGTAAGGGCTGTAACACTCCACGGGGAGAACGTCCACCCTTTCGGCTCGCCCCCCAAGCTGGGACCCCCCCATGACGTAGACCCTCTCCAGCAGGGAGACGGCGCAGTGCCACCCCCTCGGGGTGCTGAGGCTGGCCTTATCCTGCCAGCTATCCTTGCTGGGGTCGTACATGCACACCGAGCGGGAGTAAGCGTTATTGATGTAACCCCCCGTCACCAGGATGCGACCGTCCACCACCGCGCTGGCGTGGCAGCACCTGGGCACCTCCAGGGGGGCCTTCATCTGCCACTGGTTAGTGGCGGGCACGTAGCACTCCACCGAGGAGAGGCACCCCTCGGAGTTGCGGCCGCCCACGGCGAAAAGGAGGCCGTTGAAGACGTTGAGGCTGAAGTGGGTGCGCCGCTGATTCATGCTGGCCAGGTGGATCCAGGTGTTGAAACGAGGATCGTATCTGGAAGCAGTGAAAAGAGAGGGTAACCGTCTCACGCGCCGCTCTGCTAAATTCTGCAGCCTCGTCTCCGTCCCACCTGCTGACATTTTATTTATTCATTTACCCCGTTATAAGTCAGTGGAATGAAACCGGTATCCCTGGTGAAATTTCCGCGTAAATCTAGCTTTCGATTTGAGAAAAAATGTGTTTGCATCATTCAAAGCTGGTATTGTTTCAATAAAGTAAATGTGACTCTTTTCTGTAATTTGATTTTGTGTAACAACCTCATTAGAATATTGGAAAGAGACACTTTCAATTGTATGTTGACATTTTAGAAGCTCTTGCAATTTACACCTACAGCAAAAGCTGCCCAAATTTACTCAAAGGCTTTTAAGAAATGTTAGGTGGTGATTTATCTTTTTAGTACTTTCTAAACGGTAAATATTCTGTCCCTGCCACTCATACGGAGCAAGAATTAAGTGGAAAGAACATCTTTGCTTCTTAACACTGTACCTGTCTAAAATAACATTCTCTGTCGCTGGCATTTAAATGAGCAATATGAAGTAGGAAATAGCAAATTATGACTCCTGAAGGAGCCGAGTGAAGTACATTAGTAGACCCCCCCATTTCTCCTGTTGCATGCCATGGTTGGTAGATAAAAAGTTGAGTTGTCTCACCTCCAGCCTTTGCTTCAAGCTATCATGTGTCATCAGCTTTTAGGCTGAACTATTTAAAAATTAGTACCATCCGTTTGGCTACTGCATGTTAACTATGAATTCTTCTGACCTTGCTATCACCAGTGCAGTCCTCAGGTGACTATAGATAGGAACCGAAATATTTCAGCAGTGAGGTGTGATTTGGAACACGCTGTAGAAGAGAAATGCAGCCTTCCAAGAGACAGGTGACACTGTTTCTAAAATCTCAGTAAATAAAGGAGTTGGTTCTTCAGTTAGTTATTCTCTAGAGGATATGAAATTCGGTACAAAAGCTGTTGAAAATATGGTGGGTGGTGCATAGAAAGTCAAGATTATAATACGTAAAAGGTGGTTTGCGGAACTATCTGTGAGGCACCAGAAGCTCCTGAAATTTAAAAAAGTCTCACCTTGACTAATTTGGTGCATTTAATGGTACCTTAGAATATCTGAGAGCTTCCTATTTACATTTCTATTCATTTCCTCCACTTGGAGGGAGTTTTCTCCATCTTCCTCACTTCTCATTGCGCATGTGTAACCGTGGTGAAGTTTTTGCATAACTTTGATTGCCTATTTCTGCTCATTCAAACTTTAATATAGAATAGCATCCATACCTCCCCAACCCTGTCCCTTCTTCTATTTATCTGAGCAGTTCACACTGCCTATCACAAACCAGCTTTGGTCTATCTGCCTGCGTCGGTTGGAATGGATCTCTCTCCATCCCTCCTCAATAACCAACCGGTTACCTGCAGAAATTGCTGACTGCATGCTTGGCTTGGTTCCTTGCATCGTTCTGGTCTTCCCCACCAGCCACATAGAGAAATCCATCCATCACCGTCACACACTGATTAAAACTTTTAGCAGGCATTTCACTCAGCTTCTTCCATCCATTTTCAGGATCTCGGTACAAGATGTCTCTGCTAAGAGACTTTTCTGTTAGCGCAGGGCGTCCCCCTACAGTAACTAAGACTCTGAAACCTCCACGGATCCTCGTTCTTCTGGACTGCAGTGTATTCTGGTGGTAGGGAAGCAAATGATAGTTCATGGCATCCACTAGGAGCTTATGGCAGTCAGCATCTTGCATCATTCTCGGCACGGTTTGAACATAATTGACAAGGTCTTGGGCTGAGATGGTACCAAAACGGATGTTACCTAAGAGATCGGCAGCAAACTTTACTCTTTTTTGGTCAAATTCCAGCCATTTTATTGCAATCTGGAATGCAACAATTTCAGAAGGCAACTGCAAGTCGTCATCTGCAAGGAGTTCATTAATCTGATCAAAAGTGAGTTTTAAGAACTGATCCGTTTCTGAAAATTCAATGAAGTTGTCTCTAATAAATTTGTGCGCTGCTTCCTTGGTTGTTTTCAGTCCATACGTTTCTGCAATATTGGCAACGTACATACAATTCTCAACGTTGATTTCTTGGATTAGAAAATCACAGCACATCTTTACGAGGGTGTGAATCTGCAGATAAATTGCTGTGGAAATAATACTACCTATTGTATAAAGCGAGAGAGTAAGTTTTCCAGTGTAAGCATAGGTGATAACGGTAGCCAGACCCAATGGGGATATGTCGTTGAGGTCTACCCGTTGAGTGGAGGGATCTTTCTTTAAGATGTTGTGAAAGTAGTCGCTGCTTGAAGCCATCACCACCTTATGGACGCTGAAGGACTTGGTTTTGGTACTGATAGTCAAATCGCAAAGAAAATTGTCTTGTCTCATTCTGCTTAGACCTTCCAAGAGATTTGGGCTATACGATGGGTCAGAAACTTCAGATGAGATGCAGCTGAAACCATTGCCTCCATCTAAGAGTCCATTCAAGCCATTGAGTTTACTGAGGGGGCCATCTTCCACAATGATAGTCATTTCATTGATATCTGCTTTGTTCTTCTTCACATTCTTCTTCTTAGGGGCCATGACCGCAATGAAATATTACAGCCAAAAGCTTGCTAAAAATAAAATTAAAACATTTAGAGTGACACTGCAGTTGTGAAATTTAATAGCAGAGTGATTACGCAACAAATATAACCTTTGTCAATACATATAAATGCCTCAAAACCACAACAGACAGGGTAATCCATCTTCCCAAGAACTATTATACTGTCCTAGATTGTAGTGTGGATGCTTGTTAATAAAAATGGATACTCAAATCATGAGGAATACACCCACAACACCTAAAAAGAATTTAGATTGTAGTGTGGATGCTTGTTAATAAAAATAGATACTCAAATTGTGAGGAATACACCTACAACACCTAAAAAGAATTTTTTTTTTTTTTTTACAATAACAAGGTCATAAAAATAACATTCCCCTATTGTCACCACATTCAAAGAGTTAAATTCTCTTCCTAAACATTAAATGAGTTTGTCAGAGTGTACAATCTTTTAAATAGTCATTTAAATCAACCAGGCTCTCGGTATGAATTCGTTAGTCTGAAGCACAGGAAAGATATGAGCCCCCAACTTTCTTCGTCCTTACTCCAGGGCTGGTACAGACTTACAGGTGAGTTCAAAATTTGACCAGGCGATATTGAAAGCGGGATAAATTCTTTAAAAAAAACAAGCAACATAAGACATAAAGACAAAGCGAATTTTAGCATGATGTAACGTTGATTTTAGATTTAGCATCTGCTCCAAATTGCTTCCAGGTTTTTGTAACGTTTGATTTTCTAGACTGATAATATTCTGCTTCCCATGTCAGATTCACAAATACCTTCTACTCATAACGCACTTGGCTGTACAACTATCAGTAATTTGAAACATAATCCTACATTGAGGATTTTGTCTCACTTTTAGTTGAGAAAAATGTCCTGCAAACGTTAGCAGGATGTGGTGTTTCAAACAAGTTCTGTGTGTGTGAAGGTTAATAATTACTCCCATTATGTTAGATCGGGTATTCAAATTAGACTTATCAACTCCAGGCAAGTTCCAGCTCTTGCTGAAATGAAGGGCCAAGTTTTTGTCAAATGCAATGTCAGATGCCCCCTAAGTCATATTCAAAGAAGGTATTTCAGATAAATATATGCATATGCAAATAGACCTTGAAGGAAAGCACTCATCTTCAGTAACACAGTTAAAACAGAATTGCTGAGATCAGCATTCAGCTATATTCAAATGTAGCATTTATATTCTAAGACCATTTACACCAGCTAATTTTCTTTGAGATCCTTGCGCTCATTCATGAAGAAATGCTAACGATAAAAAAAACTCTAATGATAAAGCAACCAACTGGCTTATTTTAGGTAACTGAAGAGAAAACCTCGATAATATTTCAACCTAAAATCTCAGCACATCAATTTTTCCTTAAGCTCCCAACACGTAACAAAACGGTAATTTAATTATAGTCAGGAATGGTTGCTGCCTGTGAGCAACCAGGATTTATTTTATTATTTTTTTTTTGCTGCTGGGTGACGACCATGTGCAAGAGCAGGCGAGGGGGAAGGCCGTGTGTGCCCAAAGTGTCACTGACGTGAGGCGCCGTCCCCGAAATGTCGGTGTGGCAGCGCGGGGGTCAGCTGCTGCCCCGCTCCCCCCGCGCCGCCCGCATTCCAGGAGCTCCATCTGTTGAGACCCATCAGAGTCACCTCCCAGAATAGCAACCTCCCAGCAGCTTGCCATTTTAAGACAGGTCCAGCCGAAGGTGTAGTGGGTGTTTTAGTAGACTTCGGCAGTTTAATGCAACTTTTTTGGCAAAAAAAAAGCCCAAACCCTACGCTATCCAAGTGTTGTGTATGTTTGTTGACATAAAATAGAAGCAAAATGGAACTTGTGGATGTTTTTTTTATGCTATCCCTGTAGTGATATCTCTGCATATTAATAGCCACAGCTTTATAGCTGGCAAGGGCATATTCTTTTGGCAGTCATATTTGTGTTTCCAAATATTTTTAGAGACCCATAACTTAACAATTTTAATGCCCGCAGCACTTCATGTTTATTGCCTCATTGCAATATTCTGCCTTATTGCAGAAGCTCAGTTAACTCTGTGACATTTTAAGCTCTCTGTTCAAAAATGTCCATTCTCCAAAGTTTTTTCCTGAAAAACACTTTTCCATCAGCAGAGATATCAGCAGCTGGCTTAGCGTATAAGCCCGTAAGTGACAGGACATGCAAAACCAGTGAAACAAATCCAACCATCCTATCATAAATCCAAGTTACTGAACTTTGAAAACCCTGGGTGATTCAGTTTTCTACAGCTGTTTGCTTCCACCTCATTCATTTTAGCTTAAGAACAACTAATGCCAAAAGACGCTCGGGGTCCCAAAACAAAGCATTCAAACAACCAACCTTCCCCCCTCCCCTAAAATGTTACTTCTAACCACTATCAGAGTGAGGAGTTAAAGACCCCTTACCCTCCTCGGAGAAATGGTGTTCCAGAGCTGTCCAAGACGCTGTCGGCCAAAATGCCTCTTCCTTGGAAAAACGAGAGGACAAAAAGAGAGGCAAGGGGGTAAAAAGGAGAGAGAGAGATCAGAGGCCACTCGGTGAGCCCCAGCGTGTGGTTTCCAGCGTGAGGCTTTGCTGTCACAGGGAGCAAAAGAGACCGGAGCCTGTGCTCGGGTGCTCTTTAAAATGACCCCTCCTCTCTGCGCCGCGCTCCCTGCCTCTGCCCAGCCACGGCAGCTCAGCTCCCCGGGCTGCCCGACCTCCCCAAACCAGGGGGACAAGCCTGCACCCCCCAAACCCACAGGTACACAGGAGGAAAGGGAGGGGAAGGTGAAGATGGCAGGTAGATCCACGGCAGGTAATAATTGTCCCATGAAAGCGTGGACCACTGGGTTCCCCACCCCAAAACTGGGAGCCTGGGTGAAAGCCAGTATGCGCGGGGAGGGGGCCAGGTTTGGATTGGACAGAAGGACAATGTTTTTTACGATGAAGGTGGTGAGACACTAGAACAGGTTGCCTAGAGAAGCTGCGGATGCTGCTGGAAGTGATCAAGGTCAGGATGGACGGGGCTTTGAGCAACCTGACCGAGTGAAAGATACCCCGTGGCATGGCATTTGGACCAGATGATCTTTGAAGGTCCCTTCCAACCCGAACCATTCTGTGATTAATTAAGTTATTCTGTGACCTTCCAACCCGAACCATTCTGTGATTAAGTTATTCTGTCATCTGAAATAACAAGCAGGAAATGCCAGGGAAAAGGTGGCACTTCAGTTCCATTTTCTTAAGATTTTGGTGCTTAGCTCTGGGCAGAGGGAAGGAGACCGGATGGTGGGGATTCACAGCCATGTCCTATTTCTTGGAATTAGGTTGCTGCTTCCGAAAAGACTTGCCTCGGCTTTCCAGGATCCTGGCTTACATCCCCTGATGTATTTGCAGAGGGATGTGAACTTTGATCTCCCGTCTTCCAAGGAAGGCATCCTAACTTGTGGGTTACACCATACGCCAGAGTAGTTTCCCTCCACCTCTTGCCCGTCAGCCTCAGGAAAGAAAGCCAAACCTCCGCATCCCAGGGGAATTTCATCCCACAGGAGAGAAAAAAGGGGTGTGAGCGACTGCACCGGAAGAGAAGGATAATTGGGGGAGTGGAAGTCAGAGAAAGGGAAGATTTTTCTCTTGGCTGTGCTTTGTGTAATGCTTCATCTGGTAGATTTATTGGATGACCTCCAGCTCGGATGGGCTGTTACAGCTACCGCGGCAAAGTAACACTTGTTTTGGACAAAAGGCCATCTCTGTGCTAGCGGAGTTACAAAACATTACGAGATAAAAATTAAAAAACCATAGAATAGGGAATTAGAGTCAATCAAACGTGTGAAATGAGAGTGAAGGAGAGGGAGGTGAAGCCAAGGCCTCCCCATAGCAACAAGGTAAGAAGCTTTGCTTATGAAAAACGGGGTCACAGCTGTGAAAAATTAAGGACAAGGTCTTATTTTAAGACATAGTTCAGGAATTTCTTCTTACTTTTTTTTTCTTGTGTGTAGATTCCTATTGCCTCAAATATACAACTCAGTATAATGCCCATTTAATATGTAGGATGACATCCTATCATCATCTTAATACCTTTCAATATATTTTAGTTTACCAGTTCAATCTAATCATAAAACTCATCACACAAACAATTATCTTTAACTTTTTTTATAGCTCTGCCTTAAAAGGATCAGCTGTAATAATTTTTACACAATGAATATATTCCCCACGGTGCTTCATGAGTTTGAAGAGCTTGTAAAAATTAGTTTTATAGCTCTGCCTTAAAAGGATCAGCTGTAATCATTTTTACACAATGAATGTATTCCCCACGATTCATGAGTTTGAAGAGCTTGTAAAAAATAGTTTCTGTAGATGGAGCAGGCCTATTTTTAAAACAAGACTCCCAAACATATACATACTAGTGAACCCGAGTTACTCAGTGTTCCCTTTTCTAACAGTTCATGCCCAGATTTTTATCAATTTTTATAACTTTAAGATGTCCTAAAATGCCAACATTTTTCAGAGAAAGCGTATATTTTTTCTCTTTGGTTATTTTTCAGTTAGATTTTTTTGATACAGGGGACTCTTCTTCTACAGAATGAATACGCTGTCATGAGCTGTAGAAAACAAAAAACTATTCTAATTTTCATACCATTTCTTTAAAGCTTACCAGCACACTGTAAAATAAATTTAAGCCTTATTCAGTCTCTACAAATGTGCTACCAACATGCTTATATGATTCACTGTTGAAAAAAACCACACAAACGACAGGGGGGAAATATCCCCACTGAAAATACAAATCTAATTTCTAATTTCCAGCAACCTGGAACTTGCTTGGAGCTGTGCAGAACAGAGATAAGCATCGTGTGGGGCGTGCCTCGACGTCTCAATGTACTAACGCTGACACAATCAAACATCTCCCATAGTTCTGACACTTTGGTTGCATATTAGGGAAAAAACCACCACGAAACCTTTAGTTACTCAGTCTTCAAGATCAGAGGACAACTGACCACACACATGGCTACCACACAGCATGCTAGCTGGTCTCCAAACTAGTCATTCTCATTTTCCATTAATTTGCACACGACAAAGTCTTTCAAAAAATAGACAGTCCCAGGATTAGCTGCAGATCACGACACATTTTTTAAAAACAAAATTTCGCTGATTACATTTTTTAAATTTTCAGATATTCTTAACATTGTTTTCGTTGTATCTTGAAAATGACCTCTTATCTTTCTGCTTATTTCCTTTCCAACGACATAGAAATTAATTACTATAAAACATTTTTATATTGGCTGAAGTCCTTGCAATCAAGTTATGAATTATCTTCACAGTTAAAAGAGGGGGTAGTACATTTTTTGGCAATATCCTAAGCCTGTTCAAAAGTATCCTTTTAGGTATGAATGAATCTTGGGGAAAAAACGTTTAATTTGCTCCATAATAAACTGGCCTGTGTGAGTGACTAAGGACAATACTATCAATCCATGCAGCCGTAGCAGGTCATGTACTAATGCTTTGACATTTTTAGTGGGAAAAAAGTGCAAACATTTGAAGAGATTTGCTCTTAGCCCAATAAATAAGAATAATCGTAAATATTTGCTCCACGTGCATGAGTCAGAATCAGCATTAGGGAAAGTTCTTGTATCACCAAAGATAGGTCTTAAGGCAATTATAACCATCTTTTCTAATCAACACGCAACCATTACTGCACTCTTTCTGGAAAAGGTAAAGCCTTTTCTTTGAAGCCAGCATGCTTTGATTTGTTGGTGGGATGCAAGTGTCGCAGCCATGGCCACATGGAGATCTACCTTGGTCAACTAAAGATGTCAATAAAACTCAGGCTCAGCTTTAGATGGTGACTGCTCTGTTTGCTCAGAGCCCTTTGTGTAAACTCAGCCTAATACTATGCACCCAAAAGCCCATACTGAGTTCACTATAATAAATAGTTCCAAAAAATATCTTTAAATGCATTAATCTGAATGTATTGAGTAAACACTCCAATAAAGCTTTAGGAAGACTGAAGGTCCTTATTCAGATTGGAGATAACCGTGAAAGCATACTGAATTTCAGTGGGAACTGCAGTCTTTTCAGTAAAAAGATGGAAAAGAAACTGGTTTTCTTTTTAAGCTGCTGAATAAATGTACAAACTACTACTGTTTAGGATCAAATGCACAGGCCCTGATTTCACAGAAGGTGTTTTTGAGGAACCGTGTTCAGGAAGACCCCAACCCCAGGTGGGTCACTCAGACCTCTCCCTCGAGGCAAACCTGCCCCAGTACTTTATCTCTCACTCCCAGTTCATTGCCTGATTTTGCCCAGCCAAGACTCTCGCATCGATCCACCCCCTGAAACTCTCATCCTGCTCTTCTCCTTAGCTCATAAAAACCTATTTCTCTTTCTGGTTTCTTTCCTCAGAAACTGACTGAGCACCAACGGACGGTACGTGCAGCAAGGAGATTTTCCTCATCCCAGAAAACGCAGTAACTTGATAATTAAGGCTCTCAAACAACATCTGGGAAACCCAGCTTCAATGGCATAATCCATACAAAAATCTGAGTCTCAACTTCCCTACTCAAAGACTACTTTAACCATAACGCTGGTGTGGGCTGAATCTCTTCCAAGATTTTGACTGCATAAATGCCACTTTGCCTAAGTGATTTCATATGATTAGGGCCAAAAAAATAAAGCAAGAACAACTAGTTGTGGATGGCCGATTTTAAGGCAGCAGTGATGAAGTCTCCACATGCTGAGAAGGCGAGTTAATTATTTCTGTGGAATAAAAGATGAGTGTAGGAACTGGAGAGTCAGTCTGCAATGGGGACCTAGATCTGTTTTTTTCCATACCCAACCTGAGCGCCCTACCTACTGTATTGCCCTACCAGCTATTTTGGTTTCCCTCCTGATAAATTTGCTACACGCTGTGCCAAGCTGTAATAAGATCTATTTTGCAATAGTGACTCTAACGTGTAAATACCAGACTTTTGCCTACTTAAAATTCCCCTGTAATTCAGACTGGTTACACTCTTGTTAGCGTTTCCCCCAAACGCTGCTCTAAAGAGTCAAAGGTGTTCTATGTACCTATTTTAATAATAATCTACATTAACTTCCAAGGAGATAATGCAAACCTAGAGGTTGTTTTTTTTTTTAAGGAGGGACTCATTCGGCTTGGGAGTCTTCCGTGCACATGCTCAGCCCCAGCAAGCTCCATGGCAGAGATCCTGTTTCAGCTACGCACCAAGGACCCATTCCCTGCCCGACACTTTTTGTGACCTTAGGTAAACCACAGAGGAGCCACGCTGAAAGTCGCGGGGCCCAAAAGTGCTCTGTCCCCCTAAAACAAAAATAATAAAAATAACATGTTATCCATCAGGCTTTAAATAAGGCAGAAACAAAAGAAAAGGGTGCCCTCTTCAGCCTGAGTGCTGCCTTCACCTGCAGGTTAGGACCACAAGAACACGCCTATGGGCACAGTCATGCCTTCACAGGCTTGGCCTTGCTATCAGTACAGGTTAGGGGTTGACCAGCTCTGCAAAGAGGGACCTGGGAGTTCTAGTGGACAACAAGTTGACCATGAGGCAGCCCTAGTGGCCAAGAAGGCCAGTGATCTCCTGGGGTGCATTAAAAAGAGCATGGCCAGCATGTTGAGGGA